TGGGAGAGATGGACAGGGCCATGGGCAGAATCTCAGCCAGTCAACTTCCACTATGCCCATCCAAGTACTTCCTCCTCGACAGTCAATAGCTCAGGTTACTGTTCAACAACTTCAGCCTCTGCAAAAATTAGCCTCTCTTCCATCAACACATCCATCGCAGGTATTGGTTGGATTTGTTGTCACTGCTTTCACAAATGTCTCACTCGGGTAATACCCAGTCATTTTCTAGCTTGGATTATATTTATAGAAAAATAGAGATATTGGCTCGAAGCAAGTTACTGTTTCTGGATGCACCATCTTCTTGTGCTTGAACTTTGTTCTCTGTGTTATTTCTTTTTCTTCTGTTTCTTTTTTTTTTTTTTACCTTATCGCACAATCCAGGTCAGGGGTGTAGCCAAGAATTTATTTTGAGGGGTGGAACATGGTTTGGATCATGTTATGGTGGTTGGATTGGTTCATTTTCACATAAACCAAGAGACATTGCCTGTGGTCTTAGGTGGAAACATTCAACATATCCAATGTTTAAATAAAATAACACAATATCTTAAAAATATGAAAATGTCTAATTGTCTGAGGAGAGGGTAGTCCTCTTTGGTTTAGATAAAATGAGACTTTTGCTAGTTCACAGTGAGCAAAGTGGCAAAGATGTCACATTTCTGAAAATGTGTGTTGTGCTTTTTCAACACTGCTTGCTAAACTGCTCATACAGTCTCCATTACTGGCTGATTATGTTGCACCACGATTGAGGAGCATTGGGAATACTGAGGCTCTCTGCTCACCTCTGTATGTGTGCGAGGAGTGCCCTCGTGTAGCTAAACAGACACAGGGAAAATGCGTTGGAGAAGCAAAGCACACCGACCACATCAGCCCTTCAGATTCTTGTTAAGCTCCAGATGAGGAAAAATGCTAATGTCCTCTACATGCAGAACATCTTGCCCTTGCTAGAAACTGAAGTGCCAGGACAGCGAGGTAGCATCTTACAGGCAATTAATCCGCAGTTCACATGTGGGGGAGATCTGTAGAGATCACGGATCAACTGTGATCTGTCAAAGAGGATGGCTGAAGCATTTTATCTGAGGAACTATCTTCCATGTTAACGTATTGTCTGGTGCATTGTTGTGCTGCCTTCTTACAAGCACTGCACAATATGATCGATATTAGCTATAAAATATTGGATGGGGGTTGAACATGAAATCCAGCCCCTAGCTATGCCTTTGGTCCAGGTGATGACAGCTGTGACTGACTGAATTTTCTACTTTAATGCTTACACTGCCCCTTTAGTCTCTTCTTGTTCCTATCCCCCGGGCAGGCTCTCCCTCTAAGACCCTCTGTCTTCCCTCTCTCCCCTCTGCACATTGATAATGTACTTGTTTCACCCATCCCTGTGTCCCTTATACCTTCCCCTCACATGCTGGATAGAGTAGGACCCACATCCCCACAGCACCAGGCCATCACTGCTCTGCAGCAGAGTCGGATGTGAACACACATACACACACCACTACATTCCAAGATACACACCCTTCCATAAGTGGCAGTGCTTGGCCTCTGATACAGGTTATTATAGTGGCTGCAGTGGAGTACAGATGTTTACCAAGAAGGTGTGAACTGGAATTTGTGTGTGTGTGTGTGTGTGTTAAAGGTGGTTTTACTGAAGTGAGACTTTGATTATGATAATTTGTTCAATTCAATTTTATTGGTATAGTACCAGTTCACAACAAAATCATTTCAGGGCACTTTACATAGCAAGGTCTAGACCTTACAGTATACATTTGATCTCTTTGTTTATATCTCAAAAAGAGTCACTGTGCTGTTGTTTTGTGACTGAAGGGTAATGAATGTTTATAGTGGCTTCAAAAAGTCCCTTCAGTTTTTACACTGGCTATGTGGTAGATTTCATTTCTATTTTTGCCAATCGTCCTACACTAATAACACATAATGACTAAGTGAAAACATTTTTAGATATTTTTGCAAATGAATTAAAAATAAACAACTGAAGTAACAATAATAATTTATCTTTTGTTCCCCAGCAGGCCCAAGTCAGCCATCCGGAGCTTTTCTCCTCTGATCATCCACAGCCTGTGGTCTTCTCCTCACCTGTGCAGAATGGGGCGGACCCAGGCACAGTCACTGCTGCTGCCCAGCTGGACAACAAAAACCCATGCCAGCTGCCTACCCAGAGCCAGGGTTGGAGCCAAATTCCTGTGCTGCAGTCCTCTGACTCTCAGAGAGCATCATCTGGGTTTGCCAGTTCCAGTCAGCAGAAACAGCTCAGTACTCTCACTGGAGCTGCAGGAGAGGGACCAACAGAGACCACCATGGAGGTATGGATACATGACTCACTTTAGTCACCACAACTTTTACAAATACAAGCGAACTCATACCATCTCTCTGGTCACTGTCAGGAACATAGACTAACATGAAATAGCTGATGCATGTTACTATATTTTTTTCATTCAGTCTCTTTATTGTTTGTTTCTGGATTGTATCTCTACAGGATCAAGCCACAGAGAAACACACTGGAGGACAGAGCTATGACAGGTACTAGCATATTTCTTCTCAGCCATTTTTGCATGTGACAAATGAGTGGTTATAATTCAAAGAAATGCATACTGTATGAACCTAATCTTAGATTTTGTCAAATGGATGAGCGACATTCTGCCTGATAAGCAGTGACGTGAGTGTTGACATAATGCACATGTTCTTTAACAGTATTTGGACCTCTTTTAAGACAAGCTCTTGGAAGCTCTTGTTTACACTATTGCAGTACAGTGACCATGCCAAACCTCTGCCACAGAAATGTTGAAATGCCTAGCAGAACCCCACACTGGTTAGCCACATTGCTTTGTTTTAAACTTCCTGAGATAGACATTGTTTCCCCTTAGAAAACATTGAGAGTGTTTCACCAAACACGGCAAGTGATGGTGCAACATGTCACTATCAAGCGCTTCCTCCTAAAGTAAAAAGGGTGCTGTTTGTCATGTAATGTCAGCCAAGCTCAGCAGCCCATACTAACTTGGTCTTTGGCAGAGAGGTGGCCAAATGACAGCTTTCCAGTTAAACACAAACTTGCTTATAAAAGCAGAATGCAGTCTTCTGAACACTTGTGGAATCTGTTGATCCTTTGTGTCATTGTGACCAGCTTCAGCAAGGACTCCTTTTTAAGTTTAGATTTTTCAGGTGTACTTTATATAATGAATACAAGAAAGCTAATCCACCACAAAGCTATATCCCCTTTGAAGCTCAGGTGAAACGTAGGTGAAACGCATGCCTTAGATATCAGCCTTTTGCTAAAACCTGCAGGTATTCCAAAGCAGCCATCCATATGACCTCCATATTGAGGAGAGGAGGTAGACATTTGGCCTTGTTCCATTTCTGGTGCAAGATTTATCTTTTGTAAGAATCACTTTCAGTAGAAGATTGTGATACTAGATTCTTGCCTAAAATTTCATTAAGAAAATTCCAAATTTATCACATCTTATTTACTTTTGCTCTTCTTCAGTCCACTATCTTTGTTTTTGCACACTGAATAGACAGATATTTTTGAACATGTTTGTGCCTATTAGCTACTGAGTTTGGCTACAGGTACATTTTAATCTTAAAACTCCAATAGGCCACCTACTGTAAATGTTGAGCTGTATGTTTGGTATCCGGGTATTAACAAACAAGAGCACCCAGAGAGCGCATGTACCTCCACCAAGGTACAACATTTGCACACACAAATGGATCTCATGAAAAATGAGACCCAGAACAACGCAAAACATATCTTAAAAATCCTTGATTGGGGTTGTATTCAGATCCCCCTTTAGGGTATGAGAGGCAGTTATACTGTGCATCCTTACCTGAACATTTCAGGGTTCTCTCTTCATTATAGGCCAAGTTATGGCAGAAAATGTGTTAAATGGGGTTTAAATGGCCATCAGATCCAGATGAAATTTGGTCTGGTGATTGACATTGCCACCCTACACGTGTCAAATTTCAAGCAAAAAATGATTTTGATAACTTTTGAGTAAAAATCTAATCAGTTCTAGGGTTGGTCCTCATCAATGTATGTACCAAGTATGCTGAGGATGCATTCAGGAGTTTGTCTGTAATCCTGCTAACCAACAAACACACACACACACACACACACACGCGCATACATAACCAAAAACACAACCTCCTTGGCAGAAGTAATAACACTGATATAATTGCATTTTCTTCCCAAAATCAGTGTAAATTCTGATGCCACATCAGGGAAGGAAATGAGTGATGGTTATGAGGGGACACATGGAAGTAAAGGTGAAGGGAAAATTCGCAAACACCACCGCAGGTCCATGCGCACTCGCTCTCGGCAAGAGAAGACCAGCAGGCCAAAGCTGAGCATGCTCAATGTGGGTAACCAAACATATTTCAACAAGGAGCACATTTCTTGTAGTTCATGTTCAAAAATAATAGAACATTAAGGAATGTATTTGTCGTCTCTCTTGTTGCAGGTGTGTAACACTGGGGATAAGATGGTAGAGTGTCAGTTGGAAACTCATAATCATAAAATGGTCACTTTCAAGTTTGACCTGGATGGAGATGCACCGGAAGAAATTGCTACATACATGGTATGTACTAGACGAGTTGCTGCCAGTCCAGTTGATGCAAAACCTTTTGTAATGAGCGCTAACCTGCTCACAGCTGAGATGCTTTGTTATAGCTCAGAACTGTGAAACTCCATGTGTTGTTGTTCTGAGCTGCAGTGTACCAACATATCTCTGTTTTTCTCTCACCTGCAATCCCAACCAGTTCATATTGGTAGAGCCTTATTTATAGATAGACAGGTGGCTATTTCAGGGCATAACAACTCCATTAACTTATCTATAAACAAGTTGTTACAAGAAATGTGCGTACTTGTAAACCAATACTTGAACTACCTTTTGTGATGTGAAGTGCTTAGAAACATGAAGTACTTCATAAACATAAATGATGCAAATGTATTTTCGGATTTCCTTTACCCTGAAATTGAATAGAGACAATTGCTTTGTATTGGTATCAAGCTACATTAAGTGAATATATCTGGAATTTGAGTGATTTTGGTTTGGCCACTCTTAACAATCTACTAAACATCTATTGTTCTTGGCAGAGCCAGGCCTCCAGGTTTATTTTAAGCATTGCTTGATAAGATAAACTGTTTAATGCTCTGTTGTCTTTTTCTTGGTCCTTCTCTTAAGGTGGAAAATGATTTTATTTTGCCTCTGGAAAAAGAGGTTTTCATTGAACAGCTAAAGGACATTGTGGACAAGGCTGAGGACATGCTGAGTGAGGACACAGAGGGGGAGAGGAACTCTGACCAGGGAGGCAGCCCCAGACAGAGTCAAGGCGCTGGCACGCTGGGAACAGAGGTGAGAAAGGAACTGTTGACACTTTGTAGTTGCAGTGGCCTTGGATGCCTCATCCTGACAGCACTGTCAAGATGACTTGGCATGTAACACTGCCAACAAGAAATGGCAAAAATACAATCCTGTTGATGTGCCGTTTTGTCTACCTGAATTTAGCTGTAAGGTTCAGCTCTTTGGCTGGTCTGGGGAAATTTTTGTATGTCCATTAAATTGATATCCATGCATCAGAAAGTAATCATCTCTTTTTTTTAAAGGCTTTGAAAGCTTTTGCACCCAGCACATCACAGATGGTGTACCAACAAAATGGTAAGGCTTTCGTCCACCCAAAACTAAAATATTCACTCAAAGTCCACTTGCACTTTTAAGTTTTACTCAAACTCAGCTGCTTTCTTGCACATGTGTATTTTTAAGAGGCCAGTTGTGGTGTGATTGTTTGTATTCACTCATTTTTTGCTATTTTGCTTTTAAAAATGTCAGTCAGTAGCTTTTAGCTCTTCTGCTGAATTGATTTCATGGTAGATGTGGATTTTTGACTTTCTGTTCTGTCTGTCCTCAACAGTCCTCCACACTGGCAAGCGCTGGTTTATCATCTGCCCTGTGGCTGAGACACCTATGCTAGACAAAGAAAAGACTGCGTCTCACACCTCCACAGCCCAAGGTATGCTACACACCATTTATTGTTTACCAAGTTAAATGCTTTATTATGGGGATTAGCTTTCTCTGCCAGGAGTACATTGTCTATATAGTAAACTGAGTCATTTGTGTTTTATTCCCTGCTGATGACTCTGAAGATGCTGTGCATATATTAGTGTGTCTGTTCAGTTCCTTTGTTGGGGTCAGTTATACAAGTATTTCTGCAGTGGTTCTAGGCAGAAATGAAAGGCAAGATGTAGACTTTGGTTGACAGAGCCTGAAGGGGGGAAGACAGGCAGTGATGTAACTCTGGCACTCAGGACCCAGCCCTTCTTTTTCACGGCTTTGGCTGTTTAACTCTCAAATTGTTCTCCTCCTAATTACCTTTGATCATTTTGTATTTCCAGAATCAGAAAAGTCTGCCTCATCGTCAGCCAGGCCCAGCAGCAACATAACTGCAGTGACTACACTTGCATCTTTATCTTCCCAAAGCGCACCCTCCTCCTCTCAGCCTCCTGCAGCTCAGGCTTCAGAACAGCCTCCAGTCCAAAACACTGGCAAAGCCCGGGTCCAGCAGCCTCAGCCCTGTGTAACTAAACATGCTCTTGCTGGTGCTGGTGTCAGCCATCACAGCTCGCTTCCTGTAGAAGAACCTTGCATCTCTGCTGGCTCTATTGTGACCGACATGCAGTGCTGTGCTATTGTGCCACCTGTTTCTCTGGATGTGAATGCTGTTGATAAAGGAGCAGGAGGTGGTTTGGTCTCCTCTCAAACTACTCAGCCCAATCAGACAGCCAGTCCCACTATAGAACTACCCCCTCAGCTAGCCTCTCACCAGTCTGTGGTCTTGCAGCAACCTTATGCCACACCCATGCAGCCTGGGACAGTAACGTCTCAGCCCCAGAGTCCAGCACATCAGACCTCCCAGAGCTCCCAGTCGTCAAGCCACCAGCAGGCAGCAAGTGGCCCAGGAGAGTCGGACAGTGAAGGACCACGCAGGGTTGAGTTTGTTGACCGCACCATCAAAACTCTGGATGAGAAGCTGAGAAACCTGTTGTACCAGGAGCATGCTCCCTCCCAGCCGTCCAGCACCGCATCTGATCCCCAGGCCTCTAGCACAGAGGGAATCGGCTCGCCTCCAGTCTCAGACAGCCAGAGCACTGAGGGAGCCCTTACAAAGTCGAAGGGGGAACCATTGGTAAAATACACTGTGTGTGTGTGTGTGTGTGTGTGTGTGTGTGTGTGTTAGAGAGAGAGAAATATGAGCATTCAGACATTGGCTAGGAGCTAAGTTAATGACATTGAATTATTGAATCATTTCCTTGCACTGTGCTGTCTGTGTCTATTGACTATAAAGAGGAGGACAAATACTGTTTATAAAGAGTGGAATTACTGCTGTCAGCATGATAATTCATCATGATTTTTTCCTATAGCAGCTTCATTTTGTGAGCGTGTTTCTGTGTGTGCATGCATGCTCCAAAACCGAATCAGGGTCTGACTCATTCAGACAAAACTGAGGTCAGGAGAAAATAATGGCGAGCCTTACTGTACCACACAGATCTAACCATTTACCACTTGCAAATGATTGCAACCTCCCACACATGCACCGTTCTCTTTCTCTGTTAGCCTCAGATTCCTGAGTGCACAGATAATGTGGGTGTGCTAAGTGATTCTGGAGTGGCAGGTTGGTAACATTATTTATGTAATGTCCATATCATGTTTTTAATGTATGAAAGTTTGCATACTGTTTGTTTTGAAAGTTCTTCTTCCTGGTTCTTTAGATGCTAACAACGTTTTAACAGGAAGGGATGTAATTTCCGGCTCCACTTCCAAAAGCCGTTTTCAAGTAAGAATCCATTTTCAGAGCTCTTAATGAGCAAAAAGTCATTCAATTATATTACTAGTCTTGACTTATGTCATTGTTTGTTTGTCCTGTGTCTGGTTTGCTGCTTAAACGTTGCATTTGTAGATGATGTTTATGGACCCTAATTTTGTTATGTTTCTCTTCCTTCCAGGTCATCCCCACTCTGTCTAATGTCATTTGTCCTTTAGGGAAAAGCAAGACAAGCTGTGGTGCCTACTGTTCCCCAGCACCATCTAGTGGCTTTGGAGGGTCTCAGAGCTCGAACAAAGGCATAAGCAGGAAAGAAAAGGCAGTGTGTGTTGCTGGGGGTAGCTCCTCTGTGACAGCTGTGGCTGATGATGAGAATGCAGGAACATCCAAAACCCACAGTGGTAACCGCTGCTCTGCCCCACCAAATTTCTACCAGGCCACCCCGGTTTCCAGCCCTGATGCCACCCCATGCCATATCCCGCGAGCGCAGACGATTGATACTCCAACGCATCGCTCCTACCTCCACTCCTCTCATCTCCACTCTGACTCAGGAGATGAAGACAGCAGCAGCATAGCTCTCCCTCCAAACCCCACCGCCTCAGCTCCTGCCCTGTCTGAGCACAGTGGAAGTGACCTCATGAAGAGGGCCGTGGCCTTCCTGCGGCGCTCTGGTCGGAGCAAAAGTGAACAGAGCTCGGATTCACCGAGTCGACAGTCCGTGACCATGAATGGTCACGCTCCCTCTGCTTCGGCAGGGCATGCCCACTCATCCTACATTAGCAGTGACAATGACTCTGAGTTTGAGGATGCAGATATGAGGAAAGAACTTCAAAAACTGAGAGAAAAGTAAAGTAACTTACACACATGCAATCACTCACAGCTGCACAGATGTACTGCAAAGTCTGTTAACAGCGTTTTCATGTTATTCACTTTTGAAGCATATCAGTTTACAGTACGTGCTTAGTTTTTACCACCTCTTATTTACAAAAAACAAGTTATGATTTCCTTTCTTGATAATGGCAGATTCACTATTCAGTTCTGACTGCTCTAATTCCAAAATAGTTTCAGAATTTTGAAGGTGCCACACATTAATCCAGTTTTAAAAAGTCAGTCAACAGCAATAGTAAACAGAACCACAGTGGAAACTAAGCACTTAGTTTGGCACTATTAGGTAAAAAAAAAAAAGTCCTGGTGGATGCAGCATAAATTAACATGTAACAGTTTCCATCTTTAGTTTTCTGGTAGCACATAGACAGGTATGTCCCTCTGCACAGTCATCACTAGTCTCTGCATGATTTCAGTATAGCATAACAATAAAAATGATCAATGTGATTAGCTGACTGCTAACCATGTTTAATTGTCATGACACCATTGTCAAAGGATCTTCCTTTTTTTATCACATTCCCAAGTTGTTGAAAAGAGTGTGCTTTATCACTTTTCTGAACAACAGTGATCTGTGAGATTCCTCACTTGTGCTATAAAAATAAATGAAGTTGCTACTGTAGCACCTTTCAAAACATACATTTTGCATAAACTCTAGAACTGAATAAATCTGATATTGTATTTCACTAAACATTTTTCAATATCCTGTCAGCCTTTATTACTGAATCAGGTACTAAGTCAGCTAACGGCAGTATTTTTCTGTACTAATAGCAGAGATGTACAGAAGTAATGGTAAAATGGGGTGATTTTAATAATTAACAAGTAGAGAGGCCATGCCAAAACTATGGAATTTATTTTGGCAACGGTAAAGATGCTGTGACGATTATTTGTTTTAAAACGTGGGAAAACTAAGAACACAATACTCATTGCTTTTACTGCTACTTTTGGCTGTCAGATGTAAATGTTCAACACTATTGTGCAATCTAAATGCATAATTAACAGACTTTTACACATTTTTACAATATCAAAAAAAAAGAGTTGTGTGTGTGTGTGTGTGTGTGTAGACAGTTTAAATGAGGTAGGCCCAATCAACCAAATGGTCAATTAATTATAACATTTTGGTGGATCAAATCACTAGGTGGCACGCCATGTGACCAGAATATCCTGGAGCCAGTTTTGGCCCAAGAGCTTTGTGCTACCGTGTTATTGTTTTCTCTGTTTTTTCAGTGACATTAATGGCCATGTAGAAGCCTGCAAACTGATCAGACGCCACAAAGTTTAGGTGTCTTAACATGTTTCTGAAACACAGGCAGAGCTTTTTAAATAATTACTAACAAATCAAGAAAGGATGTCTCTTGACCCAGGTGTCATGATTGCAAGCCGTAATGAGAGGCTCTAGTGGACTATGCAGAGAATAAATTGCTGTAGAAAGCCTGGAAAAAAAGCCAGTGAAATTGGAAGGCAACCTTTTCAGAGCTTCTGAGTTAGTTTGTCTGTTCTTTCTCTGTACCTTCTCAATAGACACCTGAAGGAGATCTCTGAGCTGCAGGCATTCCACAGGAGTGAGATTGAGCGTCTGTACAAGGAGCTGGGCAAAACTCTACCCCCCAGTGTCGGGCTGCTTCATGTAGCGCCGCCAAGCGGCCGCAGGCGCAGGGCTAGCAAACACAAACTGAAGGCTGGAAAACTGCTCAATCCAATGGTGCAGCAGCTCAAAAACAATGTTAACACCACCACTGACAGGAAAGGTGTGTGGGTTGTGGTGGTGGGGTGACAAGTGGTTTATGTGATGATTTGTATGTATGGGAGATCATTTTCAGTCTGAAGGACACAGTTGTGGAAAACGCAGAGGTGGTGTCAGATTCAGAACACTGTAGGAGTGTGTGAACCACAGACTGATTCACTCTGACTCACTTTCTTTTTTCTTGTATTTATTTATTGCAACAAGGTGAGAGGGCTGTCAGTTCACCTGGATCGCCGTCTAAAAGTTCAGTTCTGTCAGATGGCCACTCCAGTGGTGGCTCCAGCTCTTGCAGTCAGCCCAGCACCACCCCAGAGCAGGTCCACACCCAGCAACCCTGTTCCTTGAAGGGTTCTTTCTCCTCAGACAACATCTATGCTGGGCTACACAGTGATGGAATGGCTAACCAAGCAGGCCCCGACCAAGGCCAAGGTACACATCATAGGTTAATGTGCATGTCGGCGTGTGTGTGAATGCGAATGGTCTCTACACAGCTGCCAACAGAGCTATGGCACATGCTTGAATTTGTTTATGTTGTCCAGACTGCTCACAAACCACTTGCGAATAGAAAGATCAAAAGAGTTTCACCTTGAAGGACAGTAGACACAAACAGGACCAGTTCATTTGAACAGAACTGTAACGTTCATACTGTACTGCATGTAGTACCACTTAAATGCTATGTATATTCACTACCATTAAAGCCATATGTTAGCTGTTCCTTACCAGGTGGCTAGCATCTGTTGGATTGAGGAAAAGAGGAGTGTTACATAATATAGTAATATGGATACACTGGAGTTTCTGAGTCAGTAAAGATAACCGATGATTGATGTGATAAGTTGACACCACTTGTAATAATTCAACTGTCAAACATTTTAAAACAAGTTCGCATTGCAAGGTGAATTCAGGGAATACTTTGTTTAGCACTGGGAGAAATAAAATGGGCAAAGAACAGCAAGTTACACCGGGTTAACTTGGCAAGTGCACTGGTACTAAAGGTTGAGCATAAAACAAAGAAAACATGAAAATTGATTCACAGTTCTACTGTAATCCACAGTGTAGAGGATAATTTAATTATAGTTATTTAATAAATGTGGCTGTTGTACAGTATAAAGTATATTAACCGATCTGCATTTAAGTCTACTGCAAGTTAGACCAGTCTATAATAAAGAGAATGATGAATGTTAAGGTTAAAAGGTTTATCACTGTGTTCTTGGCTAATATAAAACCAGGAGCTGGCACTCCCTCAGTTCAACAGCTGCAGACAACAGACAGATAATGAAACATGGCTCTTTTTGTAGGTTGCTAACAGTATTTAGGTGTTGGCAAAGAGAGAGGAAAGAATCTTTATTGAAAGTAATCATCCTTGTAAAACTGGCATTGTACCCATTCCACAAGGTTTTAGTGCTGAAAGTTGCCACAGTTTGCCATGTATTTTTTTTTTTTTTTTGTTGTTGTTGTTGTAGGAAATGTTTATTGGATCATTTTGATGCACTGCATAATGCCATCTTTTTCAGCTGTAGAATTTGTCAGTTTAGTGCATTTTCTCATATCATGCCATGGCACTTCTAGGGACAGATGTTGCAAATTACTCCAAGCTATAAACACTTTTATTTGACACCATCAAATAAACAATCAAACAATAGCATTGTAGACTAAACCCAAGCACACAACCTCAGTACCTTTTACCTGTTAGTCCCTTTGTTTTGTTTTCAGCTCCCCTAATATCAGTTGTAATTATTGGCTGAAGTTCCATCATCAGACCGATAATAAAGTTTTGTAGTAGGATCCTGCATATGGTGCATTCCTTCTTAGTATCCTTTACTGGTGCTTTTGATGGTGGGGGTATCTCATCCCAGTCTCTGTGCACTTTTACAAAGTATCTCTCTTGTTTCTTCTCTTCTTCCCTCTTATATTCATTTTTACAGGCTGGACGGTTTACCACCAAACGTCTGAGAGAGTCACCTATAAATCTAGTAGCAAACCACGCACTAGATTCCTCAGTGGACCTGTGTCTCTGTCCATCTGTTTGTATTTGTTCTTTTCTATTTCCCCTCACTCATTTCCATCTTGTCCTTATTTAACCTACCTCTCTCTCCCTACAACCAAGTTTTTTTTATTTTATTTATAAGTAATGTAGTGGATCTTCTGTCTCACTTTCCTCACAGGCTTCCTCATCTGCCATACATCACAATTTTCTAGTCTGATCATTCACCCTTTCCCTCAACAACCTCTAAAACTGAGCTCTGTATGGTTCTTTTCCCCCCTGATGACCAGAGGATGTCCATCACATGCACTTGTGATGTTGATATGCTAAACTCATATCAGCTAAGTCAATTGAATCTGGCTAATGTAAGCATATGCCACCAGAACTAAAGGCTTGTCCAGCCAGGAAATGTTCCCTTTCCTTCAGGCAATCAGAAGTGCAGGTCATATTTCTGGCTAGCTTGTGTTTTAGCTTATGAATTTACTGGAGGTGCCTTCATTTATTACTGCTGTTAAATCATTGCAACTCTGTAGACACTTGTTTGTGGTACTTAAAGGTGCTGTTGGTTCCCAGGCTTGTGTATCATTTTATTAAGGACTTCCATTAATAATAATCTGTGCCCTGGTGCTTAAAATTGCGTATGAGCTTGTATTTAAAACCACGGGACCACTTAGTTTGAAATGGCTGTTAGAATGCAGGGAGTTGTCATTGCTACGTATCTGTTGTCCAGGAGTCGAGGTTTGAGCAATAAAAAAAAAAATACAGTCGGCATAATAAATAAACAGCCACATTAGAGCTGTAGTGTCTGTGCAGGCAAAGCAGGGAACTCAACACTATCAACCTTTCAAAGCAATGGTGTCGCAGCAAGATGGTTCGACACCTCGATTTACCTTGCCAAAAATCACATGACCATCCCAAATGAAGCTTCATAACGTCACACTCGTATCAGCACAGTGCTTGGAATACTGTAGGTGTACTTGTCATTCTGCCACATTATTGAAAAACAGTGTTAGTCTGTGAGCTGTTTTTATAATCCAAGATTTAATGAAGGAAATTACATTAACGAAACTATTAAGACCATCAGGATTCTAACTGTTTCTTCGTGGGCTCAGATTTATTCCACCCACAAATGCAGCACCAAGGATGTGGCCAGCAAATGTCGCCATTTTTCACTGTGAGATGTTTCAAAACAGGGAATCATTTTCAATACAATTGCTTCATTTTGATTCAGTGTTTTAGAAAGCCTCCTTTGGTCCATTACTAGTGCAAGTATATAATGTCCCCTACTGGGGATCACTGGGTTTTGGCAGTCTGATTGGTTGTATGTTAAGCAGGAGTAACAGGGTATGCTATATTAAATCACTGTTTTTCTAAATGGGTTGTTGGAAAATATCATTCATGAATACAGGTTGAGTGATCACTGTACCTCTTAATATCAAATGCAGTTCCAAGAATGTAAGCACTGTCTCTGGTGGTGGTGAGGAATGAAGAAAAAAACGAGCAGCTGTTCTATGAATTCACAATGATACCAAAGACTGTTCAGCTATTTGGCAGGAAGGTTGAAAAGGGAACATTTCTAGCCTGTGCAATCCTCTTACATTCTTATGTGTAACCTTCAGTAAATAATAATACTAATTGTATGTACTTTAAATGTACAGTCTTTCCTCTGGCAATCATCCAGAACCACTGTTAAATTCATAGCCATTCATTTATGGGTATAACACCCCCTCCCCCTCATATAAATGCTTTGTGCAGTGGTGCTTCTGGCTTTAAAAACAGACTCTACAAGTACACAGAGGCTTGTGAATGGCTAGTCCTTTCCAAACATGGGCCTGAGGTCAGGTCTATGATGAGCCAGTGTACCCGTTTTGTGTGTATGCGTGAGAGAGAATGCCAAAACCTTTATACTTTATTTGTTGTGTTTCCATCCACTGTTGATTTGTATAACATCTCCCAAGTGAAGGCACTTTGCCCACGTCCGCAGTCCTGTGTATACTAACACAGAGAAACCCTCCCAGCCCTTCCCTGATAGGCAGGGCTCTTTGCTGTCCCTCATGTTTGGACGGAGAAGACGTGCATGGTGCAGGCGCCAGGCAGGGCATTGATGGAGACTTGCTCCGCCATATGAAGGGCTGTATCATCAATACTTCTACTTTTATTTTCTGCTTCCACCTCTCCTGAGTTACCTGCATGTTTCTGCCAAGTGCTAACACTGAGTTCCAGCTAGTCTCTACAGTATGTGCTCTTTCAGTTTGAGATTTGATTTCTTTTTGTATTAGGTTTTGTTTCACAGGCATTCTCACATCGACAAAGGGATCTCCTTTTTAACCTATGTTCCAGTCTACCTTTTCTTTTTTTTGTACTTTTAGCGAAGGCAGTGGGATTTACAGCTGATGGGATGAAGCTTTGTTCCAAGACACATATATAACAAATGGAAAAAAAAATTCTACTAATGATAATCACCATTAAATAGGACGGTGCTCCAGTAGTGAACATAAGATCCAGAGAAACTGAACTTGATCACAAGATTAAATTTTAGATATGAATATGTACAAACCTTTAACATAACTTTCCTGGTCCAAAGACTGAGTTATGTACCTCCTATTCATTTTTCCAAGTATCCCTTTTTTTAATAACCATTTATAATAAGACAACTGGATGTTATTGTGTCATATTAGGTGATTTCTTCTAGGTGAACATTATGTGCTGTTAAATAGATAACTAAAACGTCAAATAGGATGGTAGTTTTCGATATGGTCTCCAAGCATTTGCTAATAAGGTAGCAATTTGAAGGATTCCTACAATATATGATAGTTATTGGCCTCATTAGTGCCACACAGTCTCCAGAAACTTGTTCTAATACCTTGGTGTAGTTCGCCTACAAGCGTAATAACAAATCATAGTATTTTCTCACCCAAAATGCCTCCATGTCAAGGTGTAGGTTGTCTTCCAGTTGCAATTTACCGATCTCCCAGTCTTTCACTGGAATCCCATTTTTCCAATTTATTCTTCATGTATGTATTCACCAATTTGGATTCTTGGAGTCCTTGATATAGTCTACCTTGTTCTGCCTTTCATATAAAACTCTATTAGCCTGTTGTGATCTCTCCATACCAGTTAATGAACCAATAGGTCATGGTGTAAATCCTAAATAATTCAAAATTTATTTGGTACTTTTATACCTTATTTGTAGCATTGATTTGAGTGACAGTGAAGGCATTTTTAGCCAGTGTCTGTCCAGCTCAACATTGTTTAAAAAAAAAGAAAACCTTGAATTTTCAGGACGGCAGCCTATCAGATGGTCTACATCTTGGCAAGGTTGCTAGAAATGCAGGAATTCATTAATGTGCGCTGAATGTGCGTTTGAAGCAGCTTGTCCACATACTTGTGGTGTGCAGTGTGTCTTGGCCTAACTGTTTCTGTCTTGTGCTGTTTTACCTTTTTATAGGGTCCACTCTGAAACGACTTTGTCTAGGCAAAGAGCGCAGTAGTAGTAACTATCTTATTTACTTTCTTACTCTGTCCTCACTATTTTAGTCCACCTTATGTTTGTATGTGCACTGTATTTTCTCTTTATTGTTTTGGCACTTTGAAACTGTGGCGGTTCTTGTTAAAAATGCAGGTTACTCAGATTGTTGCATTATTTTATGTTTGTTGTTTTGCATGGCGTTGTGCCTACTTGTCGTTTGGTGAATTTTTGTCATTGCTTGCATATAGAACATTTCATTTGTCTGTACAGTAATTACTTACCTTTTATGTTGTAATCTTTTGGCTGCTATGTTGGCAACATTTTTCATAGATGTAGCTCTACAGTATGCACATTTACTCTGGTCTCAGCAAAACCATTAGAACTGTCTTTTTAAAGTGTTAATAGCTGGCTTTAGTGAAGGTGTCATTATAGCATAGTTGTGTTTTTTTTTTTTTAAAGTGTGATAAATTGTCATAGAGCAGCCAATTGTCAGTTTTCTTGATTGGGCAGATTTTTAAAACCTCTGTCTTTTCAGGGGCTTCTCTCAGCACCACACCAGCTCAGACACAGCCATCACGCTCCACAGCCGCACCCTCACCATCTCCTCAGCTAATCACACGGCTTGCGCAGGTTCAGACCAACAACAGTAACAACAAGAGAGGCACGTTCACTGATGATCTTCACAAACTGGTAGATGACTGGACGAAGGAGACAGTTGCAGCTGCCAATCAACCACGACTTTCCCTGAATCAGATCAAACAGCAGAGACGCCAGCAGGACCTGGAATGCAGAGCGCCACCCATAGGAGCTGCTGCACATGAGGTATTTGTGCATTAGATGATTTAGGATCATTGTACTTTGATCTAGGACTGGGTGATGTGGCCAAACCAGGCATTCCACAAAAGGTCACCATGTTATTCTACACCTAATGGTCCTTGCACAGTAGAACTGGTAGCCGTATGTACTTTTATGTGCCACATTAATAAAACTAGACAGCACTCAGAGAGTACACACTCCACCCAGGGCCAAGTCTGTTTCTCCACGCCATAAAAGCAATATTGACAGCGTGATCCTGGGGTTGCAGCTACTACAATAATATGTTTTATGCAGTAATATTTTATTTCATAAAAGGAGTGTGCTACTGACTACTAAACCTAATCTGTTTTTTGTACATAAAAGATAATGCAGCAAAGAGCTTCTTGTTTTTTTGGTTTTGGTTTTATATAGTGATATATGTTGTAATGTGGACCCTGAGTTTTTGGTATGTTTACATCCCTAGCTACTAGTGGCAGTTTGAGATGGCAGACTTTAACTTTCTGTATATTCAAGATGAGATGGTTCTGTCACCCAGCCCTACTTTGATCCAAGACATTTGATGCAATTACAAGGCCCTATATGTACTATTTTGTACAACTCGTTTTTCTTCCAGATGAAATGTCAGGTTGGTCCCAGCAAGTTCCATCTGCCTCTTTCCTGCCCGTTGACTGCTGCTGTAGGCCCTGGTATGCCCACAACACTAGCTCCCAACTCCTCGGCAATGCTCCCTCCAGGGTACCTTCTCCCAGTAGGTGCCTATGGCGGTATGGTTCCCAATCCTCTTTACCCTCAGCAGTGGCCTGGCATGCCTAGCCCATTAGGGTCCCTTGGTCCTGTAAGCATGCTTGGTGCTGCAAGAATGATTCCCTATGCCACAATGGCAAACCCAGGGATCCAAGCGTACCCTCTGGTCAGGCACAACCATGAGAATGGCCCCTGTCCAAAAACCACTAGGACTACCTGATCTGCTAACTGAAATTTGTTGGTGTGGTGGGCAGGATAGTCTGCAACTGTACAGAATCTGATATTGTAAATAAGAGGACAGAGTGTTGATATTCTTTATGCAACACACATCTGTAATGAACTGTGTGAGTGTGTGTGTATGTGTTTGTATGTTTGTATATTATACAGTACATGTTAAGTATGTGTGTACACAGAATGCTTTTTGGCTTTGGTCTTGACTAAACTCAGCCATACAGAACATTTTCTCAGCAGACACAAAACATATTTCACTATATTCTTTATTATGGCAGTTTTCTCATTGATTTTGCCTTTGTGTGTTATGTTCACTTTAAACACTACATTGGAATCCAAATACCAGTGGTTTGGGATACAGTGACAGGGCAGTATTTATGATGACGATATTTGATGGAATGTAGTGCCTTGAACATCGATTTATATATATATATTTTTTTTCATTCTGTGGAACATAGCATGTCTGCATCCAGCTTATTTCATTTGACAGTAGCTGGAGTGCATTACAGACACTTGTTTTTGGTTTACATACGAATGCCCTTGTAGTACTGCACTATTAACACAGTATATGGTCTTATTTAAACAATAAAATCATGTATGAACCCTTGTTTACTTCCCACCCCATGACAGATGGAATGCCATAGTGGGGAGCTGTACCGTTGCCTTGCAGAAACAAATGACAAATGGTTAATAGAAGACTGATGAGAGAAGGAAAAAAAAAAGTACGCCAGCAGCCAAAATCCACTCTTTCAGGTCAAATGGTTCTGTTGGACACAGCCTCTTTTTTTTTTTTTTTTGTTATGAAAACAGATGTGTTGGACAGCACAAGAGTTGTCAGTGTTGTAGCCTTGTGCCCAGAGGAAAGCCAGTGTCCAGAGCCATATAGACTGTACATAGTTCTTTCTACAGTATATGCCTCTGCTCGTGTTCTGATCAGAATGTAGCAGTTAATATGTGAAGGCTTGAAGCTTAAAAGTGCAATTTAACCCCTCCACAAAGCTTTGATCGTGGCCTTGCCACAAGCCTTATCTCTGATGTGTGCAATAGGAGCAAGAGGAAAAATCAAAGTCACAAATCACCAAGCAACAGACAGAAGTTAACAGGCAAAGTTTAAACATAACAGACCACCCTGCACCTCTGAATTCACTAAATGTTCCTTCAACTTGGCTGTCCTATTACTCAGCATACACTGTATGTACACAGTGTTTTGTGCAATCACCTGTTAAGTCTGACATTTTTAACTTATTTGTTTAAAACTTTTTTGATGCTGCTATCATCTGAGGTGATTCCATTGTATAGTTAAGCATTCAGTTTGCATAAGATGGTACTTAAAAATAAGGCTTCTCAAATTAAACAAATGAGATGCCCACACAACAGTGTTATTGTCTTGTTGAAATTCTGATGTTTTTCCCAGGCTGCTTTTAAAAACAGCCTCAGTTTTCTTTTTCCAATGATATATTGCAAAAATTCAGATACTTGATGTGGGAGATTTGCACAATTTATAGTCTCCTCTAATTCTACTGTACATAGTGGGTTTCACTGCTTTATTTTTCTTTTCTTTTTTATCACTGACCAGCATGGCCAACATCTCATATCTCACAAAGCAAAAATCAACAACACGGCTACTATGGAAAAAAAAAAAAATTCACATTTTCGACATATTTTGAAAGGGTCCAGCACTTCAATCCTGCTAAGCTGTGAAATGTACAGTTTTCTTGTAGTTTATATTTGTACATTTTGTTTCCCTGGGTGGTGGTGGTGGTGATGGAGGGCCTGCTTTTGATGTACATTTTTCCATCAATTCGGTTTGAATTGGACTTTTATAGAATACTATGCAGAGTCCTCTGCTTTGGTGAAATACTTCCAGTAGTAAGAGATTTCTGTTCTCTGTCACTTGTATCAGTAGCCTATGTTTTGTTCCACCCTCCTCGCTGCTAACACATAAGGAACAGAGGAGGGAATAGCCATTGTGGGCATATTAATTTGGGTGCAGTGATGATAATAGGGTTGAAATACACAGAGCAGCAGACCTGACCTATCTGAACCCTGCCCGAACAATATTGCCCCCTGGTGAATACGCTCTGATTGTCAAAAACGTGTTTCAACTGTCTGGGATGGCTTCTGCCTGCTGTGCCCCGCTGCATTACCCCACCCTGCCCTGCTGCACTCTTATCACAGACTGTATGTGGACAGAGAAATAAATAAATATTTTGGGCTTGATGGTATGTGTCATTGTTTTCATTTCCATTTTAATTTCTGGAGGCCATATCAGAATAAGGTAGGCTAAACCTCTGGAAGCGGATGTAGCATGTATAAACATATACGAATAAAAAAAAAAAAAAAAACATTCTCATTGGAAAGTGGTTTCCTGTTTTTCCTGAACAGAGGTTGTGCAAGTGTTTGAAAATGTGATGTCCAGACAGACCATGTTTTTCAGTCAGTCCGGCTCCATATTTTATGAAGCAAAACCACAGATTCGCGACATCCAATGCAAAATTACCTCGGGGGAAAATACTGGTCGAGTAGAAATGAAGAATTAACCATTTCTGAAAGTTTCAAATAAAGTATCACTGGTTATTGTGAAATCTTGGCTAAAGTGTACGTACATGCTTTATTTCAACACCAGAGCCGAGAAATAGATCCCGCTTTGTGTGTCGAATGTGTCAACCCGCGTCTTTGGCGCAACGTTAGCTTCAGCAATGTTTGTCCCTTTTGTTCAACGGAGTTTCTGAATTACTCCCAACACAATGAAATGGTCGGGATCATATTTGGCTTCATAAAAACATTTCATTGTACCCATGCTTCCCGTGATTTCATCTGGGATTGTCTAATGGCATGAAATCGATCTGCAAACCTTCCCTGGTGTGAGGTTTCCGAAGCACACCGTCTTGAGGAACGTGGGATAGTAAGTGTTTAGTTATAACACTAGTCCGGGTCTGTAGTGTTAAATGCTAGTTTTGTGGCAACGTGGGTCACATTTGGACTACTGCTAAACCCACCGTAGATGTAATTTTGCGGCAATTTTACCCAGAAAACACGAAGTAGCAACGTTAAAGCTGCAATGCAGCTGAAGCATGGCTGTTTTCCTCCTATTGCACAAGTCGGGGGTATTTTGCCACAGGGAAGGAGAACTAAGTGTGTGGTCGACTTTAGCTGTTCGATTAAGTAACGGGGCTGATGACAAATCATGCTGCAGTAGTGTTGTAGCGTTAACTGTTAACCTCAAGAAGTCAGACAGTACTGTCATTCTGCTGCCAAGTATATGGGATTCACAGGGTGAGGTCATTGTGGAGGGAAACACTAATTTAAAAGGGCTAATGGTCATCTAAGCCACAGTCAGACTACACTTTATGTAACAGTAAGCACAATGCTGTTTATCACTTGTTATTAATTGTACTAAACACGTTCTGTAACGTCAGTGACACTGTGGCTATCGTCTGTCCTGTGAGTACAGCTATAATGTAGCACGCGAATGAACCTAGCTGGTTGACGTTACTGGACTGAATGAAGAACAAAACGTCGATTAAGGCGGTGAATTAATATAAAATTATGCTAGCGTGTTTCAGGAGCAGTAGTTAGCTGTTCCCTTTGTAGCTAACGTTGTGATATTTGGAAAGTGAAGTGGCGTTGTTGCTAGCTGCTGTTAGCTTGCTGGCTACCACCGCCAGGCTACATTGTTGAATTGTTTGAGGAGGAAGCAGAAGCAAAATGCTAAAGCTAACGTTAGCAGGATTAGAAGGCAAATCTTTTGTGTTTCAAGCTAAACCTAGAACTGTGCACTACCTATCCTGATTGGTTTTTTCTTACTAGCCTGATGGGCTGTAAACAAGCTTGAATTCACTGTAAACTAAACAGTTGAGCCATTTGTTTCACTGCACGATGACCGAAAACAATTGAAACGTTGGTTAGCAGCAGAAGCAAAATATTGGCCTAACACTAAACTGCACCTGTTACTGGGACACGGAAAAATAATTTGTTTGCCACTGGGAGAAGGGGACATGATCACGTGACTGCACCATAACAGGTGCACAGTGTGTAGGCACGATTTGTCTAGACTGCTGTCTCTAACAGCTACAGTTCAGTGGCAGGAGCTGCCTGGTATTTAATGTATTGTATAATGAAGTCTCAGTAATTGATCCTCCCATCATTCTCCTTTGTGTTCCTCTGTTTCAGATGTAAACTTGGACAGCATCTGTCCCAGCAGTGGCCATTGGCACAATGGGGCTGGACTTTGATGTAAAGACCTTCTGTCACAATCTGCGGGCCACCAAGCCCCCTTATGAGTGCCCCGTGGAGACTTGTCGTAAGGTTTACAAGAGCTACAGTGGCATCGAGTATCACCTTTACCACTATGACCATGACAACCCAACTCCTGCACAGACTGTACCCCAAAAGAAAAGAAAGGGACGGCCTCCTCGTGCCTCACTGGCTGGGTCAGGAGATACTGATGACGGCGGTAATGGAGGTCGAGGAGCGGGACACGGGGGGAACACCCCTGGTAGCCCCAACCAGTCAGAGCGCTCACACTCCCCGGGCAGAGAGACAATGACCTATGCCCAGGCACAGCGTATGGTTGAGCTGGAGATTCAAGGACGCATTCATCGTGTTAGCATCTTTGAGAACATTGATGTGGTGTCAGAGGAAGACAGCGATGCGGACAATGCTCCACCATCTGGCGCTGCTGGTAGTGGTGGAGGTGTGTGTAATGGGAATGATGGTGGAGCCGGTGGTAGCGAGGTAGGAGGAAGTGGCAAGGACCGGTCTGATATTCTATCTTCTAATGGGGGCAAAGCCACCCCAAAGTCTGGGAAGCATAAGAGTAAAGAAAAGAAGAAGGATGGCTCATATCATCACAGCGCTCAGTCTGGACCTGCAGTCAAGCTCCCCGAGGCGGTGTTCAGAGAACTGGACCAAGAGAGACCTGACGCCCCTCCTCGGCCGTCATCTTACTACAGGTCTGCACTGAGACTTAGGAGCTGGTTCATTGATAATTACATAGAAGTTATAAGGATTAGAAGCAGGATTATTTTTAAGTACATCACAGGCATTTTAAAGACAAAGGCAACTTGAGGAAGCATCTTTTTTTAAAACGTACTATACTTTTGGTGAGTCACAAATATTTGAAAGACATGTTTACACACCCAGTCACTAGTTTGTTTGCAGTTGTACAGCTCATTGTCAAACATGTATCAGAAACTTAACTTCACCTCAGATTGCTGGTATTATTCTATTGTTAGTTCCTCTTTCAGGTTGAAGTTTGTGATAATTCTATACTCCCAATTAATTCAACTTATTTTCTTCTTTGTACTGTGTATAATTATACACATCTTCCTCTTCTCTCTAACTCTGGTGTTCAGGTATATTGATAAGTCTGTGGAGGAGCTGGATGAGGAGGTGGAGTATGACATTGATGAGGAGGATTACATCTGGCTTGACATCATGAACGACAAGCGGCGGCGTGATGGAGTTACACCCATCCCTCAGGAGGTGTTTGAGTACCTCATGGACCGCTTAGAGAAGGAGTCCTACTTTGAGAGCCATAACAAGGTACCTGAGCATGGATACTGAGGTGAAGATTGTATTTTAACACCGGATCATATAGAAACTGATCTCTGTTCACGCTCCTTTCCCTCAGGTGGACCCCAATACCCTAATCGATGAGGATGCTGTATGCTGCATCTGTAATGACGGAGAGTGTCAGAACAGCAATGTGATCCTGTTCTGTGACATGTGTAACCTGGCAGTACACCAAGAGTGCTATGGTGTTCCCTACATTCCAGAGGGCCAGTGGCTCTGTCGTCGCTGCCTGCAGTCTCCAAGTCGAGCAGTGGACTGTGCTCTCTGTCCCAACAAGGGAGGAGCTTTCAAACAGACAGATGATGCACGCTGGGCACACGTAGTGTGTGCCCTCTGGATCCCAGAGGTAATCTGTACCCGATTATGTGCATGTTTGATTTGAATTACATAATCATCTTCGTTAGTCTGTTCTTCAACATCAGAGTTGCTTTATTTTCCACAGTGTAAGGATTTAATATTATTAACTGGATAATATAAAGGTGCTGCATAGATATTTTCAGAATGTGACGTATCTTACATACACTGTATCTTGATGTTTTCACGGCTCTAACAACTGAAATGATACAAAGCCAGCTGAATGTCATCTGTTAATGTACAGTTTGGCAGTGATCCGTCAGACTACCTTATTACTAACCTAACCATTGCTGCTTTTCCCAGGTCTGCTTTGCTAACACAGTCTTTCTGGAACCAATCGATAGTATTGAGCACATCCCTCCTGCACGCTGGAAGCTCACCTGCTACATCTGCAAGCAGCGTGGTTCAGGCGCCTGCATCCAGTGTCACAAAGCCAACTGTTACACAGCCTTCCATGTTACGTGTGCCCAGCAGGCAGGCCTCTACATGAAAATGGAGCCTGTCAGAGAGACTGGAGCCAATGGCACCTCTTTCAGCGTCCGTAAGACGGCTTACTGTGACATTCACACACCCCCAGGATCAGCCCAACCTTTGGGAGGGGTTGGCGGGGCCAGCATGGGTTCGTCTCACAGTGAAGGAGAGCTGGAGGAGGATGACGAGCCCAGCATCGGTCATGATGATGACTCCAAGGGCTGGAGCTCTGAGCGAGCCAAAAGGGCGAAAGCAAAATCCAGGCTGAAGATGAAGAGAGCAAGGAAGATCTTAGCAGAGAGGAGAGCTGCTGCACCAGTGGTGTCTGTACCCTGCATACCTCCTCACAGGCATGTACAAACTACAGCTTCCAAATTTACTTCAAGTTCTTCACACCTCCTGCCAGCACATATGGCTTTTTTCCTTTTTTATATACAGCTGTATGTGGAACACCAGGTGTATATGGAAACATCACTTGTTAGGATGACTTAGGTTCAATATCATGGTTTTTTTTTTCTTCATTGCCTACTAGATGTGCTGCACTGTTTACTACTCTTCTCTAATGGAGACTCTTCTTATATTCAGTAAAGAAAATGTTGCATTTATATCATGGGAGTACAAGACTTATAGTGTTTGTTTTCTTCAGGCTAAGCAAAATCACCAGTAACTTAACGGTACCCAGAAAGGGCCAGTTCATGCAGCGACTTCACAGCTACTGGACCCTGAAGAGGCAAAGTCGCAACGGTGTACCTCTGCTGCGCCGGCTCCAGACTCACCTACAGTCACAACGACATATTGACCCTTTCCCACCGCAGCCT